TTTGGCCGCAGTCTCCTCCTTTCTCTGCTCCTGAGGGAGCAGCAAACAGGGCCAGCACTGTAAGACCTGGAAGTTTTGCCCCTCTCAGCCCCAGCTCAGGGAGGTGCAGTGGGTGCTGCAGGGGAGGCTGTTCCTGGGCTGTCTCTGTGCTGAGGGTCCCCACTCAGTGGTGGCTGCTTGACAGGTGCAGCTTTAAATCTGGATGAAGACATTTTGCTCCTCAGAGAGCTCTCCCTGAGCCCCAGGGAGCACTCTCTGTCCTGGTTTGCAGGGGAGTCAAGGCATGGAGAGGGATTTGGTGTCTGAGCCTTGCCTTGCTGGGACAGAAATGACCTCACATTTCCCGTGGAGCTTGAGCCTCCCTCAGAGGTGTTTTGGGAGATGAGCTGTAGGCACTGTGAGCCCGGCAAGCAGCTGGTGGATACTTAAGCAGCAATATTCTGCAGCTTTTTTCCTCCCTCACAGCAATGACCAGCAGGGATTGCAAAGACCTTCCCACTCCGTGACCTCCATCCGTGGCACAGCTCTGTGTCCTCCAGAAGGGCTCATCTGCTCAGCCCGTTTTCCATGGGGGATGCCCAAATCCAGGAGTTTCTAGCCAGGCAGCTGAGTGACCACCCTGATTCTCAGACAGAGATTGGGGCTCTGAAAATCGGGAACGTTTTGTTGGCCCCAAAGTTGAGGCTTTTAGCTTCGAGATGATTGAAGCAGATACCAGCCCTCTGGTGTCGATGCCACTCCACAAATGGCCTGTAAGAAACACAGGAAAACACAAAGGACTGTTGCAGCTTCTGGGGAAATCTCTTTTATTTCCAGTAAAATTGGCAGTTTTCACGTGGCCACTCTAATTCTTTAGCCATTAGAAATGTAAACATTGATTTAACATTTATATTTAACAGACATCTGTAGAAAAAATTTATATTCTGTATGGGCTATCAATGTCTTCAATATCTATAGAGTTAAAAACTCTTAGATGAAGACTGCAAGAGGCTGAGAGGAAGATGGAATGTGGGAAGAGGGACATCCATGTGCTGCTGTAACAGGGAATGCCAGGGAGGATAAAGCTCTGGGAAAACCCCCAGGAGAGCAGCTGGACATATTGGACCTTTGGGGTCAGCAAAGGTAGAGATGCAGAGATAGCAAACATTGGTTCCTTAGTGTTTTATAAAGGTACTGAAGATAAAAAGCAGCATTTTAAAAAAATACATCTTCAGTTTCAGTGTTCGATTTATCCCAGTGCTTGGTTTTGCTTTATTTCACTTGGTACCTCAGAAGTTCAAGGAATCCACCACCTTTAAAGCCAAAGTGGGAAAACTGAGTCTGGATTCTCAGTGCAGCTCCCAGGCTTGCAGATCAGCCCTTTCCCAGAAATACTGCACTGTTTGGAAAAGGAGAGAAGGGCCTTTAAATGAAATCTGGGCTGTAGCACTGGGATGTGATGGTGCTGTTAGAGATCAACAGCCATCAATCTGTGTTACTTAATTTGTCCCTGGCTCAGCTGTTCGCTGTACTTGGGACTCTTTTGCTGTTTGCTCCGTTTTATTTTCCACCGAGATAAATGAAGACAAAAAGAAGGGGCCAATTGTTCTTGACAAATAGAAGTAATTTTAAAAAATATATAACCATAAAAGATATTCTACATTTTCAAACCACTTTTTTTTTTTTTTTTTCTTCCCCTGACTTTCAGAGAATCGCAGTTCATTTATTTCCCTCTGTGTGTGTGTATTGAACACCCCCTGATTTCATTGCTGGTTTCAGGTCGACTTCATGAGCACTCTTTAAACTCTGTGAAAAATTCACTTGGAATAAATGTTTTGTTTTGGTTTTTTTAACTAAATATTTAGAAACACGTTGTTGCCCACCTGGGCGCGGCTGTGACGCTCGGGTTGGTTTATTTATCCTGGGTGTTCTGGGGACAGGAGGCCGTTGAGGGAGCTCATTTCAAGCTCACTTGGCTTCTCAGGAGTTGAGTTTTTTTTCACGTGTGTCAGCTCCTTTCTCTTCTGGAGGAACATCTGTGGAGGCATCTCAGGAATATTCACAGGGTCGGGAATATAAATATATATAAAAATAAATACACTGTTCAGTCGGGAGCAAATGGCTCCCCACCCAACTTCAGCAGCTTTAACGTTTCACTGAGGACTGGGATCAGCAGAGGGGATGTCAGAGCCTGCCTGCCTTCCCTGGCCATCCCTCCTGGAGCACTGGGATGGTGGGATCAGGGCAGAGGGTTGAGCAGCCAAATGCACGGAGTGGCTCTTCCTGACTTCCCTTGTTTACCGTGTTTTAATGGAGAGGGTTCAGAGGAAGGAGCCCCAGGAGGATCTCTCAGCTTTGCAGGACGTTGTTTGCTGTTGAAATACTTCAGTGGCCCAGGATTTTGCTCTCAAATCCTGCCAACAGCAAGTTGCTTTTGGCAGGAAGTGCCGTTGGAACATCAGCCATCCCCTGTCCGGGCTGGCAGGGCTTGGAAGAGCAGCCCAGGGCTTGGGCACTGGGAGGAACACGAGGCTTTCAGGGGGCTTGAGTTTGGATTAATAACTTCAAGGGCCAACTGTTCAAAGGGCTGCCTTCCAAATTTACACTGGTAGTTGAGCACAACTACGAAATTATGGGCAGAAAATCACAGATAATCTTTTTCCAAGCTGACCTTCCTGAAATGGAGCCAGCAATTATCTGGGTTTGGGCACCGGTTCAGCAATGTTTTTAGGTGTTGTTAATGTCATATTTTCGTTATATTTCTTCTGGACTATTGATTAACTCTTCAATTATTTAAGAAAAGGCAATTCAGTGTGGTAGTGAATAACAGCTCTTTGAGTTGGTAGGTGTGCTTTGCACAGGGGCTCCTGGAGCTTGTGTAACAACTGACAGAATCCTGTGTCTGCTTCTCCTTGTGTGTGTTGGTGTTGATCTCACAGAGTGGATGGGAAATGCCAGACATGTTTGCACGTTGTTGCTTTGGTATCTCATCACCTCTCAGTCTGTGCTGAGCTGATTTTCAAAGCACCTGGCAGGGTGACCTGTGCTCTTCCCCTGTGGAAGATACTGAGAATTGGGAATGTGTGTGTCCCAAATTCCACCTGAGATTCCAAAGCCTGCTGCTGTTGGTGGCTGTGGCTGAGCTGACCTACAGAAAACACAGGATGCAGAATTCTGGTGGAATTTAAACCACCTCAGCCCAGCCCACTCTGCTAAACCAGCACCAGGGCTTAAATCTTTACCAGTGTGATTAAACAGTCCCAGACACACACACTCTTGTCTTGATAAACGTATTTCATTAGCCACAACTAAAGGAATTGCCCAGATTCCCTGCCTAGTGACACGTCCCTGTGGTATTTTGACCCATTTTTCCTCTGAGGTCACTGAAGGAACAATCCTGAGCTTCCAGAAACAACGTTTGATAGACTGAGGAGCTCTGATTTCATTATTTATTCCTGCTTTGCCCTAGCCCAGCTCCCAGTGACTCCAGAAGTTCTCCATGGAACTGGAACAGTGTTCACTGCAGCAATTGCAGCTCACACTGATGTATTTTAGAGCTTAGAAACTTAAAGCAGCTGAAGAGACTTGGATGTTCAGATCCCACTGGAATCAGCCCCCCACCCAGTTATGGAAAAATGAGCAGTCATGGGTGAAAGAATGGGAGGGAGGGTCGTGAGGGCACTGCAGCACTTGGGACCCTGGTGTGCTCTTTGTACCTGGTGTCTTCCCCCTGAACTGTGCAGCTCTCTGAGTTTTGCTCTTGTTCTTTCCTCTCCCAAGCCATGTTAATGACATGTTAATTCTTGTCTCCTGCCTCCCTCACTAATTGTGGGAGATGCCAGTGGAGGGAACCCAGAGCCACAGTCTGGTGTTCCTGCTCCTTCTTCCAGCACTTGGATTTCTCTGTGCTCAGATGATAAGAATCACACTGTCAGCCCTTTTGTATTCTGTACCTGAGCCTTCCTGGAAGTGTTTATCTGTTTAAAACAGCTTTAAATTTTCATTAAAAAACAAACAAAACCCCAGCCTGTCATTGGCAATATTTCTGTTGGTCATGACAACAACTTTTAGAGGTGACTGGTGAGGTTGAATGGATCTGTTCTTGACTGCCCAGATTAAAACAAGCTGTCCTTAGCAGGTATCCCGAGCTCTGCTTTTTATGCAGCCCTTTCGTGGTATCTCAAGTTATTAATCATAAATGGAGGCATCCAAAAAAAAAACCCCGCTCAGTTTTGAAACTCGTGGCCTCATTTAGCTTTCCTAACAGCTTGTTTCGAGCAAAACCTGATGTGGAGCCAAATGAAGTGTGTGTTTAAATGATCCCTTGCCTAAACTATCATGAAAATTTCAGATGGGATGAGAAGGAGGAATGGCACCGAGGGCAGCTTGTTGGAAGCTCGCTGCTACTTAGAGATTCAAATCCTGGAATCAGCAAACCCTCCGTCACTTCAATGCTTCTCCAGTGAAATCCAACTTTTTGTTTCCTGGTGTAACTATTCTCATGTATTTTCCTCTGTTGATCACCCCCAAATACTAGCACCCTTTCTAATTTTGGTGCACATTTGGTAGAAACTATAATTAAGAACAGAAAATTACTTATCTCAATAAATATAACACGTTTATGAAGAATCAGCGTGGCTTTCTAAAGGCTTCATAAGTTGTTAAAGCCCTTTGAAGTAACTGTGTGGATCAAGAAGATGCTGTTACATTTCCAGAAGGCTTTTGCAAGGTCTTCCATCAAACTTCCTGAAAGAAATGGAACTTTTTTGTTGGGATGTTACACAGGGAGAAGTCCTTACATAAACATATTGTTGTGGGAAATGACAGGGAACAAATTTCTGGAGGTGGAAAAAGGATGTGTTTCTATCCCTGGTCACTGCCTGGAAGCAGGACAGTGCTGTTGGGTGTGATTTGGCACAGTGACATTGGGATATCTGATTATTTGCAATGATTTATCTCCTTTCTGCCTCCATTTGTTCCCGCTCCCTCTGACCGGTGTGCTCTGTTTTCCTGATTCCCAGGGCCCAGCAGCATCCAGAGAGCTTTCCCCTGCCATCCTGGGCACGTGCTGGCTGTCTCCATGTGCTGGGAGGCTGTAAAAACAGGATCCACTGGCAATTCCTAGCACTTGGAGGTAAGACTTTTCCCATGACTCCTTGCTGAATGCCCTTGGATATTGGTGGGGAGAACTCAGGCAGGGTTAACTGACTGCCCAGACATTTGGACATCATCAGAAGCACCCAGGAGTTTAAGGATATGGCCTGCTGGTGAAAGCCACTGCTGGGAATGTTGTTCCTGTTTGCAGCTGGACACCAAGTGAGGGTTTTCTGCCTGGCTTAGAGCTCACTTCACCCCAAATTGAGAGGAAAGCTTTCAACTGGGAACTCTGTCGTGGGCTGGAAACTCCGCTTGAGTTTCATGTCAAAGTCACCTTCTGAAATATTTTATGACAGAGATGTCAAAATGAAATGTTTCACCATTTCTGGCCCTGAACAGGAAAGTCTCTAATGGTCATTTTTAGTTAGATTTTCCAGCCTGTCAGCCAGGGAAGCAGAGGAGAAATTCAACCTGTGGTTTTGGTTTGCCTTTTTTTTTTTTTTTTTTTTTTTCCCCTCAGCCACATAAAATACATAAAAATGTGACCAAAACCAGGTCCTCAACACCCAGAAAAAGCTTTATAGGTTATTTATTTCACCCAGCAAGGATTCTTTGGGGTCTTATTTTCTTTGCACATGGGGCCACATGGTTGTCTGATTTAAAGGATCATCTGCATCTCCTGGTCTCTTGGCAAACCCCAGCACAGTTTCCTCAGCAAAAGTGTTTGTAAAAGTGACTCCACGGACAAATAAATTAATGATTTGCCACCTACTACATTTCCTATAGTTAAGATTTGAGGCTTTTTTTTTTGGTGATGGAAGCAGTGACCTGTGGCAGTATTGTAAGTGAAATTAAGTGACATTTATTCAGAAAGGAGCCAGGTATGAGGAAATGGCTTTAATGAGCAGCAGATACCTGATGAGTGCTGATTAACAGAGAGTGAGACACTTGTGAAAGAACACCAGGTTGTATTTTGGATTGAAGGACTCCCTTTCTTGCTAAACTGCACCTAAATTGACTCCCTTCACTCCTGAAAAGGAAAATCAACCCTGGAGAGACACAAAGTCAGAGTCCCCGTGGGGATTGCCCAGAGGACCTTCGTGTCACTTATTTTGGTTGCCTGTGCTGGGAGAGGGGCAGGCACTGGAAAAGTTGATACAATTTGGCTGTATCTTGATGGAACTCCAGGCATTGTCCCCCTGGAAGGCTGGTTGGTGCTGCTGCTTGGAGAATATGACCCAGAGCAGGAATTCAGCGTGTGCTGCAAACCCTGGTTTAGGTGTCATTAATGGGCTCTTTTTTTGATGTTGGTTTTTAATAAATGTGCTCCTATTTTTAGAGTTTTATTCTGACTCTTGTAATAGCAACCATTCCATTTTGGTGAGAGGGCTTTTCTATTAACAGTGATCAAAGTGAAATATTTCACTGCAGGTACAAAAAGAGACACTTGAGATGAATGAGGTCCTGCTGGATTTGGGGAGTTGGATGGTTCTGATCTGTGATCTGACTCACAAATTTGGGAAATTATTGGCACAAAGCATCTCCCTTAGAAACAGATAACAAAATGGCATTAGCATTAAAAGGTTAGAAAACAATTTGGAACCTCTTTCAGATACATTGCAAAAAAAAATGTGCCAGGTGCTATTAAGGCATATAAATAATTCTGTGGTGTTTGTTTGATTTAAAAACTAAACTGACACATCATTTTCTTAAGAACAAATTGAGGTCTCTGAGAAGTACAGAATTCAAATATGTGGCTGCTTTAGTGAAATGTGAGAGCTCTCATTCTCTTCAGAGTGAGTGAGGCAGCAGGACTCTATTCTCATTTATTTTTATTTTTTTTTAGGGAGTACTTTAATATAAAGGTTATATAAAATTGAATATAAAACCCCAGTAATTTTCAGCAGGAATGGATGGTCTTAAGAGCATCTTTCTTAGCATTCAGTGGATTATAAGCAAATCCTTCTGGAAAGTTTGCTTTCTCCTGGACTCAAGGGCACTACCTTCAATTGCTACTGAAGGAGAAGAAATTAGAGTGGGGGAGAAGTTTGATTTCTACTTGGAATTAATTCTTATTTACCTTCCAGTTGCTGATAGCTGATGGAAGGCGAAGAGCGGGCGATAAATTACCTGTTTCAAGTCAGGTTGTCTCTCCTCCTGTAATTAATTCAGCACCACCCCAGCCTGCTGAGGCTCTCAGGAAGTTAAGCTGAGCCCAGAACTGAGCTCTGATTTAACCCCCCTCTCTGAAGATTTGCTTTTGCTTGAGCAGGGTTGCCTTGAAGTGAACTTTCCTGGCCCCATTTGCTCAGTCCTGGCTGTACCAAAGGTGTGGAGAAGGAGGAAATGGGGGTAAATTAAAACCTGTAAATCCAATGCTCAGTTAAACCTGTCCCCTGGACTTTGGCATGACTCAGATGGTGGCAGTGGAATAGTTGAAGGCGTCTCTGGAAGGTATTTGTGTTCTAGGGTTGTCTCTCACCCTCAGAGTGGTTCATGTCCATTGATCCCTGTTTTGCTCAAAGTCCAACTCTGCTCTCCAACAAGCTCTGGGTGTTGGAACACTGCCTTTGGTGGACTCGTGTCCCGTGGGATCAGCCCTTCAGGGCGCTTTTTCTCCACGGAGAAGCAGTTCCCAGGACAAAGGGAGGGAATGGCTTTTCCATAAACACCCCCTCGCCTGGTCAGCCCTCTGGATTTCCAGAGGGAGCTTCTGCGTTGTTCCAGGAGGGCTTGGGAACAGCCCTCAGGCAGAGAATGGTCACTGCTGGGCTTAAATCCACTTCAGGAGGAGCATTAACATTAAATCATGTTAATTAACATTAATATGACTTACATGGCTTAAGACCCATCTCTGGGTTTAGCAGAGCTCGAGGAATAATTTGAAGGATGAACTGTTTGCTCCCCCTGGGATTCTGACTCCAAATTCACCACGGGTGTCCTTGAAGTGGCTCAGAAGGCTTTGAGTCAGGAGGGGATTTCAGAGCAGCTTTCCTGGCTCTTCATTCTGCTTTGTGATGGCCTCTTTATGCTGGGCTGGATATCAGTGCCCTGCAGAGCAAACCTCTTAACATCCCTGTGCTGCTCTGGACCACGAGGCAATGAGCCATGTGGGTTTTTTTTTTTATTTTGATGATCATGGGAACATTCAGACTATTTTTAGGGCCATCTCCTTGCCAGGAATAATTTCTAGGACTTCAGATTTGAATGGTGAATGATGTGTCCACGTTAAATGCCTGAAGTGGATATTTAAAAATACTTTTTCCTGACTGAATGTTTTACAGATTAACACCTCTGATGCTGTTACATATAAAAGCAGCTCTGTATTTCCCATGGATTTTGTATTTTTGACTGATGTCACTGGGGGCTTCTGGGAAAACACCACAACTTTGGTTTCAAAGCCCCAAGCAGGTGTAAGCCAGTGCATTTAACAGATGAACAGTGAGATGAGGAAGAGACCACCCCTGATGAGTTTGATACAATGACTCCTCAGCTTCGATGCAGATATTTTTATGTCATGTTCAGTGCTCTGCATAATGGGCCCCAAATGCACTGACCTCTGTAGTTGTAAGTGATTCCCCATCTAAGACCTGAAAAGGGCATTGATTTCCCTTCCATCCTGCAACAAGCCTGTTCTATTGACACCTGTAAACCCCATTTAAATAAATCAAAGGGGACTCTTGGGTGTTCTTCCCCTTGCCCACAGCTCGATGGGAGAATGGATTGTTTTAACACCCCAGTGATTTATTTGTCAGCACAGACAGCCACTCATAAAAACAATCAGGATCAGGAATGTTCTTTGGAGGAATCACTGGGGCTGTCAATATCTTGGGCAGCTTAATCATCAAATTCATTGGGTTTATGAGGTTGAAATGTATAAATTCCTTTCGGAATGGATTTTAACTTTTTTTTTAAAATACGTATTTTTTTAGTTGGTTGCTCTTCCAAGTGTTTCAGTTTGTGAATAACTCCCCAGGATTTGGATTGGCACAAAAGGAAGGAGGGAAAGGCTGAGAAGGATGTTTTCTTCAAAATTGGCTTTAATGGCTGTGCTTTTTTTTTCCTATCTAGATACAACAATGGTGGCACATACCCTGTTCCAGTGGATTCTAAAAGGGCTTATCCTGACTTTCCTGCTCAAAACTACTCTGTCCCTAAATCCAGATGATCCAAACGTTTGCAGTCATTGGGAAAGGTAAGATGTAACCTGCCAATTTTTTAATTTTTTAATTTTTTTTTTGCTGACCATTTCAGATTTTGACATTTCAGAGGCAACCTGAGAGCCACCCTTTGCTAAATACCCCCTTGTCTCGGGAAAGAACATGGATTTGCCTTACAGGAATTGCACTTTGGAGTGCCTTGGAGGTTTTGGAGCATCCCAAAGGCTGCAGCTGTAGAAGATGTGTCCCTGAGTTGTGTCCTTTGGGAAGCTCCTCCGTGGTTCGAGCTGGAGGAGTCGCAGAATTGTTTGCATTTACCATGGAGAGACCCACAGGAATGCTGGCCTTGTTCTGCCTTGCTTCTAGCTGGTTGTTGTTGAGCCAGACTTAGAGATCTGGGCTGGGTTTGAAGCTTTTCCTGCTGCAAAATTCTGGGTGACCTGAACTTGGTGGCCCTGCCTTCCAAACTCGTGTCAGCATCAAAAAGCTCGTGAAAGGCCTGAGCATTAAAGGCCCTTCCAGGCAATTCTTGTTCTCTCCATTGTTCCAGTGTCCTGAAAGTGGCTCAGAGCAGGCACAGACAGAGCCCTGAGCTGGGAGGGGGTTCAGGTTCCTGCAGAGCTCCCAGGTCCTGCCCTGCTCACTTTCACTTGCTCAGTTCCACTCCTGTTAATTCTGCTCAAATCTGAACTGCTCGACACTTCAGCCAAACAAAGCCCTTAACAAGAGCAAAAATAGAATCATATTGTAATGACACCAGGGTTTGGGGCCTTAATTAGAGAATTAACTGTTTGTAGGTAATGCAGGTGCAAAGCAGAGGCTGGGCAGGATTTGTTGCTTTGCAGCCTGTGTGGGGAGGTGAAGTGCATTCAGAGCACAGGGACAAAATATTGATTTTGTCTGAAGAAAGTCAGCAACCTCGGGACCCAATCAAGGAGAAACAAAAATTAAATACCAAAATTGATTGGCTGCACTGACCAAGATGACTTTGTTAGTTAGGTGTTAATAAATCAAAGGGGAAAAGATTGTTAGGGCTGTTGCTGGATAATAAAGGGGATTGTGAAATAATAATCAAGATTTGGGAGTGGTTTACATTAATAAGGGGCAATGTAAATATTTTACTTTTTGGTATTAAAGAAGTAAAAACATTGTTGTGAAAACTGTGATAGAGGGCAAAGGAACCTCTGGGGTTGGCTTGTCTAGAAGGGACACGACAGGCAGGGCAGGAACAGCCCAATCTTCCATTCCAAGCCAATCAGACCCTCCAAGCAAATATTTTGGGTGCAGCCTCACAGGGTTTAACCTCATCAGCAGAAAAGGAAACCACCTGGAGGATTAAGACAATCAACATAATGAGTGACCCAGAGGATCTAATTCCAATATTTGAAGTAATGGTGCTGCTTCATCACAGAATGAAGTGGGAGCATCCCATCCTGCTGGCAGAGCGCTGAGGGAATGTGAGCCCTTCTTGCTGTGGGGAACACGAGGAAAAAATGAAGTTCCAGGCAGGAAGGCAACTGAGACATTGTGAAAACACAGTGCTTTTCTCTCTCCTTCAAAATTTGCACTAATAAATTAACCAAATGCACTTTCACCTTCCAAACTTCCATGAATTTTCCAAAAGGGGCAAGAGACTTGTGTCAGTGCTCATATTGATACCAGTTCCCACTTCCAGACTTTTCAGGAAGAGCTGTATTTGAAGGGAAAGCCCTTTCCTGCTCTTTGATAGTGACCAAAGTTTCTAAGATATCTGCTGTAATTATTTTTCCTGCTGGTGAGCAGCAAGTGCAGGGAACTGAACCTTTCTCTCTGTGTCCTTTGCCAGCTATGCTGTGACAGTGCAGGAATCTTACGCTCACCCCTTTGATCAGATCTACTACACACGATGCACAGACATCCTCAACTGGTTCAAGTGCACCAGGCACAGGTAAGAGCTCATCTGCAGAAATCCAGACACTGGAGTGTCGCTTTGCCCCTTTTTGTCTCCTCACATCCCTCTTATTTATCCAAATGTTTGTGCTACTCTAATACATAGATGGTTTTAGTGCAGGGTGTTTGGAATTCCAGGGCACTGATGAAGCACAGAGATTACTGCATGAAATTTGGATGAGATCAGTGGTAGTTGGTCCCTCCTGGGGCCACCCAGGAGTATTTCTCCTTGCCACTGCCCCTGCCATGGGGTTGGAAGGGTTTATGAGCAACTCTCCTTTCCAAGTGGTCAGTGCATGTCCAGGTTTGTGGTAGGAACATCCTGCACCTCCTGAATCGTGAAGGATCAGGCATTTCAGGATTAGTGGTAATTAAAAAACGATCCCTATCTGAAATAACTGCACCCAAATCTGCACTGAAAATCAGATGAAATGGGGATGGACCCATTTCTAGCACTGATTGAAGAACGAGACCAAAGAGTTTGTTTTTCCCAGGCTGCAGGGTATGGCTGTTATATCCATTCTGATTCCCAAGTATCCTAACAAACATCCACTGATGTGGGATTTTTTAGAAGGGAGTTTTAGAAGCCAGTTGGTCTCTTAACTTTCATGCATTCAGTTGCAAATGGACTGTTCAGCACCTTCCCACTGACTGTGGGGTTGTAGCTTCTGTGTTCCAGTGTTTAAAGCTGAGCCAGGCTGCAGAGCTTTCTGGGATATTCACAGATTGGAATGCAGCAGCGTGAATTCCATCCGTTTGTCTAACACGGGGGGGGGACAATGGGTTTTGTTCCATTTAGGTAATTTCCATAAACTAACATGAGCAGAGCTGTTTTGAAATGTTTGCTGTAAAATGTGCAGTTAAATATAACTTTTGTAGTGTGGCATCACTGCTAATGCTGTGAATCAGCGTGGAGGAGCTACAGAATGCTGAACACCTTCGAGTTTGTGGGGCCTGCAGCCTCGTGGTGGGGAAAAACTGGGACTACAATGTCACTTTACAAGGCAGGAGTTCCTTGTGGAAGGGTTGGCAAGCAGGGCCAAACCACTTGGGGTTAAGTGGCCAGGTTGTGTCCTGAGAGCAGTTCCCACCGCGGTGATTTTGCTGCAGCAGCTGCCATGGGGGTCTCTGCAGGAGATTCTGCTCGTTCCGTCGGTGATGGCTGACCTTGCCGATGGGCACAAACAAATCATTCATTCTTGAAGCAGCTCCTTGCCCTTGCAGTAGGACTGGGGAGATGTTTTAAGGGAGCAGCAGCCCCAGGAAGAGCTGCGGTGATTGACTGTCACGAGCGCCGTGTTCATAACACAAGTGATATTTCAAGTTTCCAAACAAGCATCGATTCCTTTTTTTATCGGGGCTTTTAATATGAAAAGCCTTCGTGCGTTAAAAAATAATTATTGAACGCTCTCCTTACCATAATTTAACACCGATATAATTGCGAGGGGGGGCCATCGATTTTCAATCGTGTCAAATGGCTTTGTGTCCTGTGATTTAGGATCAGTTATAAAACTGCCTATCGGAGGGGGCTGAGGACGATGTACCGGCGGAGATCCCAGTGCTGCCCGGGATACTACGAGAGTGGAGACTACTGCATCCGTATGTACACCCCCCCTGCTGCAGGGAGGGAGCTGGGGAGGGGCTGCAGGCAGCTGGAAGGTGTCCTGCTGCCGTCCTGGCCCGGCTCAGGAAGATGTGGCAGCAGGAGCAGGGCAGGGATTGTGTCCCTGCGCTCAGCAGGGACACACCTCGAGCGCTGTGCCTGGTTCTGAGGGTTGGTCTCTTCTCCCAGGCAACCAGCAATAGGACACAAGGGCACAGCCTTGAGCCGCACCAGGGGAGGTTTAAGTTGGACATCAGGAAGGAATTCTTCACAGATAGAGTGATCAGACATCGGAATGGGCTGCCCGGGGAGGGGATGGAGTCACCAAGACGAGTGGATGTGGCATCAGTGCCATGGGCTGGGTGACAAGGTGGGGTTGGGTCATAGAATGGACTCGGTGATCTCAAGAGGTTTTTTCTAGCCCAGTGATTCTGTTAGGGGCTGATTTTCAGAACCTCCAGGTCCCCCTGATTTCAGTCAGAATTGCAGATACCGAACCTTTCGGGTCAGCTCAGGTATGTGCATTTCAAGTGCCTGAGTAACATTTTGCTGAAATCACCGGGGAGGGAGTTAATGAAGTTCCTCAGTGCTTTCCTGAATCTGAGCTTACTTTGGGGAGTAATTAATGCAAGCATCCACTAATGTTAAATGAGGGGAACTGAGAACACTTAGGAATAAACTGTGGCACAGCTTCAGGAGCAGCGTAAAGTTTGTGCCTCTTACCTTTGAAACTTCTTACTCAGGTAAGAACTCAGATTCCTGAGTGTTCTGCACGTGCCACACTTTGCTCCAAAGCAGAGTGGAGCTGGGGTCTCTTGTCCAGATCTTGTGTCGTGGGATTAGGACACAAGAAAATCACGAAGGGGTTTTGATCAGCCGCAGAATCCAGTTTTCACTGGCAGATTTAGAATGCCGTGGAATAATTTAAATAGGAAAATGATACAACTCTCCAGCTCAGTTTGAATGTCTTGACATTGTGTTTTGCAGCTGCTTCTTTTCTAGTTCTGTTGATGTTTTTATCTGAGTTCCTGTGTTGGACTTACATTGTAATATATGAGCAGCTCAGAAACACGAATGGACCCTGATCTCATTTTAAATGACCTTTATGCCCAACAGTTACATTAAAGGGGCTTTGGACTGTGAAAAATCACCAGCCCTTTGAGATAAGGCACTGGAATTATTTTACAGAAAGAGTAATAACTTGCTCTTTTGAAGTGCAAAGTGCTGTTACTCAAGTCCTGAAAAACATTTATAGTAACTCATTGTCTTTGATGAAACCCTCCTTGTGTTAAATATGTACTCACCTCTGAATTCTCAGGTGTCAATACCATTTCAGCAGTTGTTCCACGCACTTTTATTAATAACAGTCTGGAATTCCGTGACTCAGAATCCTGTCTGGCACAGAGCACATTTATTATGACTTTTCTCTTTGCAATCTATTGATTTTTATTTTGTTTTTTTTTTTTTATTTTTTAATTGCCATACTGCTTGCAACAATAAATCTCTGCAGAGATTTATTTCTTGAGGATTCTGATTATTTGAGGGCATTAACATTTATTTTAAAGTGTTTTTTTTTTTAAATTTTTGGTATTAATACTCAGTGTTCTGCTGCTGCCAGGTAAATTTTGTCTTTCTGTGGTGGAGAAGGAGCTGCAGACAGCAAAGTTTTGCTAATGCAGAGCAGGCAGCAGGTATCTGGTCAGAGCAGGAGCTTCATGTTTGACACAGTGCAGATAACAGTGACATTTTCTCTGCTGTTTACATGTGCAACACTCAGGTCCTTGTGTTTCATTATCTGCACGGTCAGCACTGCACAATTCCTGCCCCAGGGACATCTGCGCTCTCTCTCCTTCCTGGAGGTGGGAGCAGCAAGTGCAGCTGAGGGAGAAGTGATGGCAGGGGAGAAGGTTCTCCATCATGATGGATCCCAGAGGAAAAAACAAACAAACAAAAACACCACCCCAAAACAAACAGAAAACCTCCTTGAAACTCTCTGACCCCCCAGGCAGCAGTTTGGAGGCGCAGCAGTGTTCAGCTGATGGGATCCTTTCTGTGTCACCCCATTTGTTGGGAACACATAGAGCCCTGATCCCATTTGTTTTGCTTTGTTTTGCCACAATACATTCCTGTGCCAACACGCAAATTCCCTCGTTCATCATTCTTTGCAGTCTGCTCTGAATCCCATTTTCATTCCTGGAGGCACCTCCCTGCTTTTGCCTTTTTCCTTCCCTTTCCCAGTTCTTTTCTCTGCTCTGGTGTTTTCTGCTGTTCCCTGACAAGATTCCCTGCTCTCCTGTCCCACGTCCCTCCAGACACATCCAGTGCTGCTCCTTTAATTCCAGCTGCTCCCAGAGAGGTCAGGATGCAGAATTCCACTCCCCTGAGCTGTCCCTGGCAGGGAGGGAGGGCAGGGAAGCTCCAACCCTGCAGAGAAGGTTCTCCCCACCAACCAGCCCTTTAAAAACTATTCCATTAGCAACCGTGGAAGCCACTACAACGTGGGGAGGAGGGAAACATCCTGCAGTGAGCCTGATGATCAAAAGAAAGTTTGATTAAAAAACAGTGTGTAGATTAAAGGCTAATTGGTTCTTCTTTCATTAATAGCGGTCTTTATTTCTTGCAAAAGTTAAATAGCTTTGTAATTAACAGTGACATGTTTAGACGAGGGGAGGCTGAGTTTAAATCTCTGTTAATGACTGTTTCTTGGGTTTTAAAGCAGGAGTGAAGGCTTTCAGCTGCTGTTTTGATCTTTTCCCTTCTCATTTACTCATTTTTAAAGGGATGTCAGATATATGGCTTTATCTTTGTCCTTCTGTAGGGACTTACTAAATGGATTAGGTCTAATAAAATCGCTGCTCGGTTCTAAATAACCAAGGAGACCCAGAGCTTTTTCCTCTGCCTCTTGTCTGCTGTTCTTCTTTGCCTTCCTGAGATCTGTGTGTTCTGCTGCCCCATCAGATGTGGAATCCAGGCCCAAAGTCCAATAACTCCGCAAGGCCAGCCCATCAGCACTTAGGCTCAACAGTTTTGGCTTATGAAATTGTGCCTCCAAAGGGCTTGGAGTATTTTTTGAGTTGCAATGGCATGGAGTAAAAAAACCCACCTGAAAAATGCTGCAAATGCACATCTGCATTTTCCTCCCCCTCCACCCATCTCTGAGAAAAGGTTGTTGCCATTGTGGGAGCTTTGCAAAAACGATTCCCCTTCTCTGAGTGTTCTTCCACTTGACAGAGCTTTTCCCTGAGCTGTCCCTGAAAACAAACAGCCCAGTGTGGGCAGTAAATCAGAGCAGTGATGATTTACTGTACTTTGTATGCTAAGGTAAGCTTTTGGCAGAGCAAACGCATAAACTGCAGAAAATCTTTTTTTGAACAACTACAGGGTTCAAGTGCCCTTCAAGGTTTTATTGTAAGGATGTTTTAAAATTGTATTGCCTAGATTAGTATCTGTGGTAGATAAAGCATCTCTGAATACCGTGCTGCTCAAAAAAAAAAAGAAAAAAAAAGAAAAACAAGGAATATTACATGGCTTTTCCATGCTTTTTACCCTGAGAGGAGCTGGTAATTGCATAGTTGCCTTTAAGAAGATGTCAGGTGGAAAGATGCCCTGTGTGCTAAATGGAGGCATCTTTGTCTGAGAGACCAAGGCTTTGTTCAGCCTGTCCATTTTCATCTCATTCTTGCACAACAGATTTGTACAGAAGGGATGTTTCTTCTGGGTAACAAAGGGTCAGAGACCTGAGCATCAGCTGGGGCTGCAAACAGCAGCTTCTGACAGCTGACCTGGGGCAGCCAAACCCGTTCACCAAACACAGAGAGTTGGGCTCTTTGAGCTTTTAAGTGGGTTTTTTCACTCTCCTACCTTACACTCTTTTTCTAATGTCTAAGCCTATGCAATGTGACAGGAGGTAATAATGACAGGATTAGTGATTTAACAATCTGATTTGCTGCCATTTAGCTGTCACTCAAACCTGCCAGAATCCAGTAGAGTTATGGATTGACCATTTCATGGTTCTTTCCTTTCTTGGGCAAGATATTATTGATCTCAGATTGTTTCTCAACGCTCAGCTCTCCGCGTCACAACTGCCACGAGCACCAGCAGGGCCCCTTGACTTTGACAAATCCTTCTGCAGAGGAATTGTTGGTCCCACTGGTTGGATCTGTGCGTCACCTACAGAGGTGTTTCACTCAGGCCAGGGGCTGGGAACACTGTTATGTTTGTATATGTTTATTATGCTTGTATATATTTATTTACCCATTTTTTTAAGCTCACCTGTAATGAATTTCAAAAGCAAATGAGGAATGTGCTTTCAGTAGCTGACTTGAGGGAATTATGCAAATTTGGGAGCGGATTGTTTTCAGGATTTTAAATAATGTTTCCTAAATTCTGTAATTCCAGCAGCCATGCCAACTTCCCAGTGTGATGGATCCTTTTATGGTGCAGCCATAGGAGCATCCCTACCTCAGGACTGCGCTGCCATTTACAGGGCTGTGTGTCTGCGGAGTTTTTTGTAATCTTTGACAAGGCTGCCTTATTGGAGCCATATGGCTGGATTGTTAAACATCTGTACCACAGGAGTAACAATTCCAGAGCTTCCTGCCATCTGGATGAGTTACAGCTCCTGCACTGGGATGCACATGTTGCAGCAGCACACCGGCACCGGCCCCGTGCACTGGTGATGGGAGGGAAAAGAACGGCTCCTCTAATCAGTGCACAACTTGTGCGCTCTCAGAAAACTTGGATCAGCGGCTGCAACTTCCTGAATATTCATAGTGTTTGTCCATGTGTCAGATTTGTTGATTATTTTCACTTTGTGAGGCAGCAGCTCATTAACATTTTAGAAGAAACGTTGTCCCCCTCCACTTGCGGCCTCAGGTCTGAATTCCTCGTGGTGAGCCTTCCTGTAACTTGGAAATACATTGTTTGAAAACTGCTGGACTTGGGAAATACATTTTTCTTATCTTTCCAGACACACATTAAAGCTGGTGCTGGTGCT